ACAAAGAAGTCCTGCACAGTTACATACAAACATACACACACACACATTAAAAAACGGGAGGTGTATCTAATAAAGCTGTTTATCTCGCAAATGAAAAACAGTTGCCTTATCAAGAGACAGCCACTCGTGTCCTAACGTATCGTACTGGGATGAATAAATACCCCCACCCCACCCCCCCCCCCCCCCAAAAAAAAAAAAACACATACACGCACGCACACACACTCACAAAATAACCAAGAAGAATCTAACGTTGCCACAATCCTAATCTTCAACAAGCTTGTTTTGGATCTTAACGAATTATTCGTGTCATATGACACATTGTACACATTGCCGCGTCCTGTATGGTTAATGTTTTCTGTCTGATGGCAAGAGAGCCCCCGCCCCTCCCTCTACCCCGCCCGCCCTACCCCGCCCCCTAAAAAAAACCTACCTGCATAACAACATAGACACAGTAATCTGGAAGTAATATATACCAAGCCAGACCGCATGTCATCGCTGAGAGTCTAATCTTGGAGACTACAAATTGCAGCCTAATCTTTCCTTTTCTAAAGTGTCATTGCCTCTAACTAATAGCTCATGTTTTTTAATGATTTCAAGGTGGAATTTCACACCTAGAATTCTTGACATAACAATGATAAAAGCACGTACCAGAAGTATAAAGTGTTTTACAAAGAATTTTAGGATTGTGTATCGGCGTATCTATGTTTTTTAAAAGAATTTTTAAAAAGTATTTCATATTTGTAAAAAGTTGCTTTGGCTGGATCTGGCACTTACGTTAGAAAACATAGCGATGTTATCAAAGAAACCGGAATGTTTGTCCACAGAACATGATTCCTCAGTATTAGAATAGTTAAAGTTCGTTCCAAATGTTGTGCCAGACTTTAACAACATCTTGAACACTCCTGTACGGATCAAAACTCATTTTTTGCATGTGGTTTTAGATTTCCTCTGTCCTTATGATTTGATAACTTTAAAATTGCACGGCGGATTTATTTGATCTTTTTTTCGGAATAATAATTTGTGAACTTATTATAAAAATTGTTTTAATGTAATTGACATAAAAAGTTTTGTTTCTATAAGACAATAAACAGGCATTAATGGCAGTCCGTGACATATCCACTTCACGATTCAAAATAAGCGCGCCTTAGTTTTTCGCATATATTACCTCCAAACTGCGTACAGTTCGATGTTTTCTTAACTTCGCGTCAACCTATTTACTGGAAAGATGTTCACGTTTTCATGTACCACATATTTAAAAAAAAAAAACAATTTGTTTTTAAAAAAACCTAGAGGTTTGTTTACATTGTAATTAAATTCCGACGAGGACATGATTATTAACAGGTTGTATACCAAATTTCAACAACTTTGCGTGAATTGTTATTGCTTTCCAGATACTTTTGAGGGATGTAGAATGCACTCTCTAGTGGGACCTAGGTTCAGTGTGTGGGGTAAGGTGGGTTGGGGTTAGGGCCAGTTTTACATGTTATGGGATACTTAAAACTGCACACATCCTGTAATAAAGAGCATGCCTGATCGCCGGCCAGACGGTTGAGACAACTTAGCACCAACCTGACATCCCTGCCACTTAATTAAACTGCGCGTTTCAAAGGTTAACACGCATAAATAAAGGTACAATCACAGTGTCCGCGCCTGAACATCGTCACTCATAGGTTTGTAGCTGGGCGGAGCTGAGCCTGAGTTCGTTATTTGTTCAAAATCCTCTTCCTCCTACTTTCATTTTTCTAGCTTTCCAACTCCTCTTAACACCCATCCCGCCCCCTCCTTCTTTTTTGTATGTCCCTCCCCCTTTTCCCATTTGACTCCCCCCCCCCCCTACCTCCTATCTGACTTTCTACAAGTGTGGTATTTGGGCATTCCTTGCTTTGCTTCGTAGTTTAAACTGCGCTTTACTTTGTGCTTTTTCAATGAGCAAGCCATACATCAAACACACACAAACACCCACCCACACACACACACACACACACACACACACACACACACACACACACATAAGCACACACACACAAACACACTAAGAAAATGTAAAAGATGGAGCGAATCTGGAAAAGATTACCACTTTCACATAAAAGCGCTCTCTACAATGGTTAATGAGATCCCGAAGCTTATGGTAATAAAGAATGTGAAATTCAGGTAGGAGAAAGGTGAAGGCTGAATGCAGCTTACTATAAATAGTAACAGTAATGAGGCAACTCCTACATAAATAGAATGATTCACCATCAGGCGATGTTTAGAGAAATGTGTTTGATCGCGTCATGTTATCAGCTGCAACATGAATAGAAGAAACTTGCACACAAATCTGAGAAAAATGGGTTTCACATGGTTAATTTGTTGTTGTTTTTCTCCGACAAAAATAAACATCTTTAAAACTTAGCCACAAGGGAAACACAAATGAAGCATTGGCTTTTTATAGGAGGTGAAGGTAGGAGGAGGGTGAGGCCTAATCATTTTTTATGGCTTAGGTCTTCTTTGCGTGTGCAGTAATAATAATATTTTAAACCCTCTGAAACCTTAAAAAGCATGTCCTATAAGTAAATTAAATATGGGTGATTTCTTCGAAGTCGGAATGCATCTAGTTGAGAGTCAAGGAACCAACAGACTGCTTACAAACTAGCCAGATATCTAAAACTACTGTGCACGCAAAACTGAAGTTCTGAAACAAGACCAAAGTCCAGAAGTAGACGAACGATCAGAACTTTCCTCTGGAGTTTACAGACGTTAAATGACTGTAATAATGATAATAAAATAATAATAATAAAAATATTTGCTTTATTACAATTAAAAATAATCTGTTTGAAATATTTGAAAAGAAATAGTATATACGTCGTTAGAAGGACCACATGGCCATCTTATACAATTTCGTGAGAGGCTCTGTGATTGGGCGCTTCCTGGAGTCTCCTGTTGCCAGAGCTCCCAGGTTCTGGCGCCTACGCAAGTAACGGTTGTTTGAAAACGTGGAATTTTCATAAACAATTCAATTTTTAGATATGTCCTTTATGCATTATCAAACAGCGACGGTTTTCAGGGATTTATCTGCCGAAGAGCTCTGCATTATGTCTCCGTTGTCAGTTCTGTGATTACATCAGCAGTGCCTCTGCTTTATCTTGAAGTTTTCTAGAAATAACGAATTTATTAATACGAAATAAAATTATTTGGAAAACTTTTAAAGACAAAGAAAATGAGCATTGAATAACTTGCTCATTGTAGCATAGACAAATTTAGAAAAAATACTTGCGTTTTCGAAAAAACAAAATAGTTAAAGTTAACAAATCAGAAAAAAAAGCACTTTTAGTAAAAGTAAAGCTTAAAGGACCTTTTTCACATAATTGAAACACTGGTTATGTAGTGACTTCCGGTTAAAATGGACGCTAGACAGCGGCGCTGTTCGGAGCGGAGGCAAATTTTTTGCTTCTGTCGGACAGTGGCCGAAGTATTTTTGCTCCATTTGTAGACTGGATATAGTTTCGTCGCCCAGCTTCTGAGTTGAACGCATGGCGTGACCATGTGAGCTGCGTATTGCATTTGGAATGTTTTTTCGACTGTGACCAACGTGGTGTGAATTGTAGATTCAGAAAATGGCGCGATGCCGGTCGTGCAATGCTGGCGGGACCCGTATTAAAATTGATCGCGCGGGCAACTGCTGATCTGTTGGCGACAAGTTCTGCTATCATCAATGATGAACTACATTTCTAATGTTGGACTGTTTGTGTTAGCACTTCGGATGGCTACCATATGCGTTAATGCGAGTGTATGCTAGATATGCTGAGACAGCAGTCTGTCAATCTTTCCACAAGGGACTGTGATAAACATTCTGGGTGTTTTTCGCTGGCACAGGATCGGAGCAAAGATGGGGCGACCCGTTTGCTATGAAGCTGAAACTAAGACTACCAGACTACCAGACTACCAGACTGGTTATGTAGTGCCAGGCCCTAATTTTTATAAAAGTAAAACACTAAAGGTCCCTTTTCCACGCCTTTAGGCGTATAGGGCATATAGGGCTATACTTATAATTGTATTGACCAATCGACACAAGATGGGTGATGTGGTCAGCATCACGCCAGCCGCCTTTACTTCCCGGGACTGCAGCCGGTCCCCACTCAAGGCTGGGTCGACCTGAGAGTCAAGGTCATGTTTGAAAAAAGTCCGGCTCTACTCATTTTTGTTGCTCAATAAGAATTCGACGCGTGATGCGGTTAAAGTCTCATTGGCCGGATTTGTTGTCTATTTTGAGCCACACGGACGTAGGCTTGACCTCTTAAATGATCTGAACATCATAACATATTTTTTCGTGTGCACATTTTGTATCAGAAACTGAATTACTTTGACCGAATCAAGCAGGCGCATCACCGCAAAGATAACATTGGGGATCTCACCTCTTATAGTTTGTTTTTAAGTCACTTCCTCTTCTCCCTTTCCACCCACAGCAAAGCAGTCTGTGGGATTCACACGTCATGAAGGAGAATCAGACAGGCACCAATCTTGGACACTGCGTTCAACGGTATAGCCCAGTTATATTGAGGCACCACACAACCGTGGTAACTAGCATGTAGTCCGGTGTGGTTGGGTTTAAAGAAGAGTGCAGAGAACACATTTTTTATAAGGCTGGCAGCACAAGTTTTGGAACTTTGCGCTGGCTGCTGAGGATGGGGACGGAGCGCGTATGGGAATGCCCCAAGTCGTGTGATGTCAATTTTTAACTCAGCTCAACTCAGTTTGCCCAGAAACACAAGAGCCAAAGGAATTTTTTGGTTGGTTCTGCAAAGTCTTGTAAAGGACACGCAACTAACTTTGTTTACTTTGTTGATTTCTTTGACTGGAGATGGTTTGTTCTGTCCTCAGGATCTCCTTATGTGATATGAAAATGATGATAAATATTGTATACATATATTTTAACGTGCAATTTGCGTGATTTTGTCGTTGAACATTTTTTAATCGTGTTCTTTAACAATTAACCGTGCATCTGTGCTTTTTTCCATTCTTAGATTTTAGATTTATGGGTTCTTCAAGCTGTGGCTAACACATGCAACCAATGTTCTCGATCTCCTTCCCTCTGCCGCCGCATCTCTGGGCTATACACCGTGACGGTTTTAACAGAGGGCACCTACAATCCGGTGGTAGTGATACCTGCACCAGCCTGCAGCATTAACGTCACAGAGTTCGGCTCCAGCAGGAATTATATTGGTAAGATTATCCATTGTATAGCCCTCGTCTTGTCTCTCTCTCTCTCTCCGCCAGACTAACATTGATAGATTCAGTTAAGATAAACTACCCATCGTCTAGGTCTCGACTTGTCTCTCTTCGTCAGACTAACATTGATAGATTCAGTTAAGATTGCCCATCGTATAGCTCTCGTCTTGTCTCTCTCCGCCAGGCTAACATTGATAGATTCAGTTAAGATAAACTACCCATCGTCTAGCTCTTTTACTTTCTCTCTCTCGGCCAGACTAACATTGATACATTCAGTTAAGATTACTACTCATCGTCTAGCTCTGTGATTGTCTTTATCCCTAGATTCAGTTTAGATTACTACTCATCTTCAGCTTTATAACTGTCTCTATCCCTAGATTCAGTTGAGATTACTACCCATCGTCTAGCTCTGTGACTGTCTCTCCCCCTAGATTCAGTTAAGATTACTACCCAACGTCTAGCTCTGTGACTGTCTCTATCCCTAGATTCAGTTAAGATTACTACCCATCGTCTAGCCCTGTGACTGTCTCTATCCCTAGATTCAGTTAAGATTACTACCCATCGTCTAGCCCTGTGACTGTCTCTATCCCTAGATTCAGTTGAAATTACTACCCATCGTCTAGCTCTGTGACTGTCTCTATCGCTAGATTCAGTTAATAATTCTACTCCTCACCTAGATCTGTGACTGTCTCTATCCCTAGATTTAGTTAAGATTACTACCCATCGCCTAGCTCTGGGACTGTCTATATTCCTAGATTCAGTTAATAATTCTACTCCTCACCTAGATCTGTGACTGTCTCTATCCCTAGATTCAGTTAAGATTACTACCCATCGCCTAGCTCTGGGACTGTCTCTATCCCTAAATTCAGTTAAGAATTCTACTCATCGCCTAGCTCTGTGACTGTCTCTATCCCTAAATTCAGTTAAGAATTCTACTCATCGCCTAGCTCTGGGACTGTCTCTTTCCCTAGGACACGAGTTTCTTTTTATTTTAAATCTCCGTGTGGGTTTCAGGGGCCCATTGTAGAAAAGTTTGGAGGGGGGGGGGGGGGGTGGGTGGGGGTCAGGACAAGGGCTACCTTACACTGAACAGTACCCAGCCAACAATGTCATGATATGACACAGCCGTTGTGCTTCAGTCGGTGCTTACAGCTAGAACAACATCCGGATCGCAGGTTGAAAAAGCCAGTGCACCGGGCAATAAAAGCGTTGTTTTTTAAGTCTCTTTTCAAGTATTCCTTACATCCTCCTTAGGACGTAATTTTTGTTATTTGAAGCCCCACTCTGGCTTTTGCCAGGGGCCGCAAAATATGGCCAATTGTCTGAACGCGGTTTCTGGGACCTCTCCACGGTGATCCTCATCCACATGGTGGCACTTTGTGACATCGGGTGTTTATCGCTTGTGTGATGTCCTGGTGGGGTAGAAAGTCAGTCAGTCAGTCAAATCTCTTTTCATTTCTTTTTACCCACTCCTCGTTTAGCTTCTGTCTTTTAACCTGCAGTTCTTGTTTAGTAGCTCTAGCTGATCGCTGAATTTGTTTTATTCTAAGTGACCAAACCATTTGATTTCTATTACATGTTCTATAAATCATGTACCTGTAATATTAACGATGCTGCCTCTTCTCGTTTTCCCCAACGCATTTCTTATACATCTAATTTAAAATATTCTGATTTTGCTGTATTCAAATACTGTCCGTATCTGGCATAGGTAGCACACCTTAAGGACAGTCCTTGAACAGTTGTAGTTTCATTTACAGTCCTTGAGCGGTTGTAGTTTCATTTATCTACCGGACTACATCACTCTTTAGAACTGCTGTCACTGATTGTAATTTACACAGGAACACAAAACCTTTTTAACTTTGCCGTGTTTTGTTGTTTTCAATTCTTCTACCGCGTTCGTTTCTTGTTTATAAGCCTCAAGTTCTAAAGCTTCATGCCATTTTTCCCCCCTGATGCAAATGCTTCCCACATTGAAGTAGGTGGATGTGTCCTGCGGCGATGGAGACAGGCGTGAGATTTGTGAAGCTCTTAAAAAAAAAAAAAACGAAGAATATTTCACTGATAGGGTTGTCTCGGTTGCCTCTGAGTGTTTGAGAACGCGCCCACCCCCTACGGAAGTGGTGCTGGTGCATCACTGTCGCCGGTGTACACGATAAAGCGGGAAATCCAGATATTTGTAGTGGGTAAAGGTACGTTATCCACGACTTTAGAGGAGGCTGCGTGGTCTCGAGGCACAATGTCCACCTCGAATGCTAGAGGTTCAGGGTTCAATCTCCGGTAAGGGCTGGAATTTCTTTACCTGTACTTTGACTTCTAGTATTTTCCCTAGTCTCTGGGTAGTGAGATCGGACGCCCGTGTGCATTTTTGCGCACGATAAAAATCCCTTGAAAGTTGGAAATCGAGAAGAGTAGCCTTACGGCGCTGGCCAGGCATACTTTAGAGTTAAAAATCTACCTAAAGTATTTCAGGATCCTCGCCGGTGCTACAGAGCCTGTACACTAAGTTGAGCTTCTTCGGACTCAGGCGAGCTATTATGGGTTGTTAAAACTTCCACTCCTTTTGCCGTATTGAGAATATAGGGCTAGACATATATTTTTATAAACCAATCAGCACATCGGTGATGTGGTCAGCATCACGCTGGCCGCATTTACTTCCCAGGACTTCACCTGGTACTACTCAAGGCTGGGTGGACAGGCAGTCAAATTTGTAGCGTGTGGAGAAATAGAAATGACAGGAGTTCTCCCTTGAAGACATGAGTGCTATTATTTAAGAGATAGATAACTGACTTAGGGGATATCAAGACACAATTCTAAAATTGGCCATATCACTTCGTGGGAGGTACCCCTGTATGTTCCTTAGTTTCTCATGACTTTATTCGAGTTTCTCATGACTTTATTTGTTTTTCTTATGACTTTATTCGAGTTTCTCATGACTTTATTCGAGTTTCTCATGACTTTATTCGAGTTTCTCATGACTTTATTTCTCATGACTTTTTTTTTGAGTTTCTCGTGACTTTATTTGAGTTTCTCATGACTTTATTCGAGTTTCTCATGACTTTATTCGAGTTTCTCATGACTTTATTCGATTTATGGTAGAACACTGACACCAAAGCACTAAGCACGGGTCAGTCAGCTCTCGATACCTCCCAACAGCTGTAATGAGTGTATCCCCTCAGTCGATCTCCAATGGCCCCCATGCTTAGTGTTCTTAAATCATCTCTGGGTATCTTTTAAGCCAAAAAAACTCCAATCACTAAAGTGGTGTGATATCAGTTTGAAAATGTGGTGACTGCAGTCGCGCTAATACCAAAAACAAATGCAAAAAATAACACAAAATATAACATAATGCTCAGCGAAGGAAACTGTAAAAGAGGCGTACAGATACAAACGACAGTTTTGACAAATGTCTTTATAAAGGAATCATAAACGACAACTAACGAAATGGTCACAAAATTGCCCCAAGTTCTTTGCAGACTTCCCCTTTTTACCATATCCGGCAGAAAAGACCATCAATCAGTCAGGTGCCGTCTCCACAATTAAGTTTTTCTACTTTGGATCTTCAATACGCCTTATCTTTCACCCGGGATGTACACTCTTTGACTGCTGTTAATCAGTTTTTGATTTTATCCTCCCATTTGTGTCGATGTATGACTCTTGCTCGTTTACCTTTAATTATTTCTTACAGTATGTTTTTTTTTTAATCGCTATAATATCTCACCTGGGTGTTACAACAAACAACAACAACAACAAAAACATTGTCTGTAGCAACTGTCTTCAGAACTCTGTTTTTGATTCTCTCCGCTCCCACTGTTTCTCTTCGCCGTGAACTATGACATATTCTTCCGTAAATCCACATCTAGAGAGATTCAGAACGATTACTAACAAGCTAAGTTTTTTTTTTTTTTTTTTTTAGTTTATCCTTCGGCAAATTCTGTTTGGTTCACTATTATGTCAAAGTTTACTGTGTTGTTTTGAAACCAGCCTTGTATTGGTCGTAGTAGTAATAGATTTTTACCCCACTAAGACATCATACAAGCGATAAACACCCAGTGACACAATGTGCTACCATGTGGATGAGGATCACCCGTGGAGATGGAGAGGTCCCAGAAACCGTGTTCAGCCATTAGACCATATTTATGGTCAGGCTATATTGCGGCCCCTGGCAAGAGCCACGGTAGGGCTTTAAATAACGAAAAATTGCATCTCACAAGGAGATGACTTCGCATTTTAAGTATTGGTAGTGCCCTGCCACTTTTACTAAAAGCATGCGTTTAAGTATTATTCTTTGTAAACAACTTTAACATGTGCTCTCTGCTTAATTAAATTATTCGTTGGTTACGAAAAATAACGTTTTATATAAAATAATGATAATATAACATAACGATTGAACTGGGCTTCTGAGACTTGCGCCCGAGTGGTTCTTCACCGAATGGCGGTACTTTGTGTCACCGGGTGTTTATCGCTCCTTATGCGGTCCCGACGATGTTGTACTTCTTTCATTCTTTCCTTTGAAATTCGTGTTAACAATGTTTTATTTTGCTTGCTTCACCCACAGTACTGGGCTGGCAAGGAGGATGTACCATACTAGTATCAAAAATTTATATATGATCGAGCCAGAATATGACTGAGCCATTATATGATCGAACCATAATAAGACTGAGCTCTAATATGTCTGAGCCATAATATAACTGAGCCATAAAATGACTGAGCCATTATATGACCGAGCCTTAATTTGACCAAGCCATAATATGACTGAGCCATAAAATGACCGAGCCATAATATGACTGAGCCATAAAATGACTGAGCCATAAAATGACCGAGCCATTATATGACCGAGCCATAATATGACCGAGCCATAAAATGACTGAGCCATAAAATGACTGAGCCATAAAATGACTGAGCCAGGAAATGACTGAGCCATAAAATGACTGAGCCAGGAAATTACTGAGCCATAATACGACTGGGCCATAATATGATGTAACCAGATGATTGCT